GCGACAACGAGGTCAACCCACTTCAATAAGTCGAAAGGAGACTGCGACCATACCCGAGGCCACAACATCTCGGTCTTCCCATCTTCAAATGTATCATTAAATGTGGAGTATGTGCTGCTCGTGGATAAATTAAGACGCCTTAAGATTGAGCTTTGCTTACATTTGCATCCCCAAAAATGAAAGACCACCTCGAATGGATCTGGCTCGACGAATAACTGGTCACAACTGCAGATCTTTCCATCTTCTTGTCCCTTAAAATGCGAAGTCTAGTCGCATTAATTGATCTATTAGCAGTAGTAGTGTTGGTGATGGTGATAGTAGTCGTTATATAAATTAATATAAATTGTGTAAATTAGTTCGAAAGCGCAAACCTTGCAAGAGCATCGCCGTTGTCGGTCTCACTCTCACTCTCACCCTCACTCGCGTGCCCACGCCCTCTGGTCCTGCTGTTGGTGTCAGCTCAAGCGCAAGGTCCGTCGGGCCATCGCAACGAACCGGCAGACGAGACGGTCGCCAAACCACGTCCGAGTCAGACGAGGCCGAATGGGTCACGTGAAGTGAAGAGGAGCGGACGTCGAGTTGGTCTGCCTCGATCGCCAAACGTCAAAATGGCCGCCGCCACGGCTTCAAGCGCGCGTTGGTTGTCTTGCATGTTGTCGGACAAGACGCCGGCAGAAGCCCGTTTCCACTGGGCCTGTGTCGGCATTCTCGACTGTCTGACGCCGGCCGACCTTCGTTGGCTGGTCGACATGCTCGACGAGCAGCAGCGCGCCGGCGGCTTTCAATGCGTCTTCCCGCCGGCCGCCAATTTGGGGCTGGCGGCTCGCTATTTGGGCTACTTCGAGATGCCGCGATATGCAAACCTGCTCTGCATCGCCTTTTTGCACAACTTCCTCGAGGACAAAGATAAAGGTGAGTACTCACTGGCACAGCCGCCAACTCATCAGCCACATTCGCCGTTTGCCATTCACCATTCGACATTCGACATTCAACATTCGACATTCAACATTCAACATTCGACATTCGGCATTCGTCATTCGACATTCAAAATTCGTCATTAAACATTCGACATTCAACATTCGACATTCGACATTCGACATTCAACATTCAACATTCGACATTCAACATTCAACATTCGTCATTCGTCATTTAACATTCGAAATTCAAAATTCGTCATTAAACATTCGACATTCAACATTCGACATTCGACATTCGTCATTCGTCATTTAACATTCGACATTCGACATTCCCCACTCGCAGTTTGTCCCACACATGTCCATTATAGATCTCTCTTTTGTTTGACTCGACTGACCGCTCATTCTCACCGGAAGGCATCAGCTTATTCTTTTTCGCCCCAATTGCTTCCATCAGCCGACACCGGCCTCGGGAGGCTACTCTTTTTCGGTTTGCCCAGAAGGCCTTTTGGCATAAACATGGCGATGCTACAATTAATGGTGGTGCCTATGGCCGAGCGATGCCTCGAGAATATGAAGGACCAATTTTGCATGCAAATTCGCACCATTAAACCCTGCGTCATTGCAGAGGACTCAAATGCAATTCACCACACAAAGAGTTGCCGA